CGGAAATAATTAATGATTTCTTGTGCGGCCCGGTACCAATTGATCCACGGACCGGTACCGGTCCGCGGCCCGGGGGTTGGGGACCACTGCTGTAAATTACAGTTCTTAGAAAGAAAACTGGAATCAGCCAGAATCTGAAGCAGCAGGTCAGACTTGAAAAAAACTGGAAATTGGAAGTGGCCAAGAAAATTGCAATTGGTGCATCTCTAATATCTATTAGCGAACAGGGTTATTTTAGCTCTTGCCAATGAGTAAAAGCCAGTTTGATATTTACTTGTTTGTTCTTTTGCTCTCTCTTTCTCTCTTCTTCTTGGCTGTGGCTGGACTCTGGCAACAGTCTTTAGTCTATGTCCTGTTGCACAGTTTGTTCACAATTGCAGTAGGCAATTGTAGTAATTTACTAAGGCCAAACTTTAAAGTCCCCATGTCATGCTCATTTTGCTCGTTTCCAGCCATTTAACAAATCATTCACTGCCTCAGGGGGCTTCACAGGCTGGCTACTTGTAGGTTAGACCCGGTCAAGTAAAACAGCGTGTTTCGGTACAGGAACATTCCTGGACATGCAGTAACGTCAGGCCCTGTATTTTTCTCTACAGCAGGAGGTAAAATATATCCACAAAACCGTGTGCAGCCATAAAATTCTGCTTTTACAATGGCACCGACAGATGTCAGGCAAGCTCACATGAATGTGCAACTACCTTGAGATTATGCCCATTCAAGGAAGTCCTTAAATTATTACGTAAAACTTACTTTTGTTAGAAAAAAAGTCTTCCGAGCGAGAGTTTGCAAGACATGTATAAACTGAGTTGCTTCTGCATGGAAATGCTAGAACGTATGTACACCTGATTTATTGAGCTTTAACTCACATACCCATTGTAACATTGTAGATAAGTCCAAAAAAAAAAAAAAAAAAACGAGGTAAAGCATTCCATGGGTTCTTTAAGTCCAAACTCTCGAAGACAGAAGGACACAGTACTCTCGGTGCGCAACTGGAACACCAGTGTCCTTGCTGACTCTGTTCTGAACAAGATGTAGCTGCCTGCTAAGGAGAGTTATCTTGCCAAATTATTATTAAACTGCCAAATTAGGTACTGTTGCTTTAAATTGCTTTTATATTTCCCCTCTTTCATATAACATTAAACTTGACTTTTTTTTTTTTTTACATTTTTCTTTCTTTGTAATTTTCTTTCAGTCATCTTTTTTTGTTTGACTCCACCTTTATATCTTTAGCATTTCAACATTCAGCAGCTTCTAAGCGAGCAGCATGTTATCACCTCTCCCACATAATTTCTTCAGAAATGACCTTTTCGTAGTGTAGCATTCCAAACCTATAACACTGTCATAATTAGCGGTTTTTCATAAAAGGATCAAAATGTATGTAATGGAACCAGAAACATCTAGTCAGCTATACATACAGACACACACACACACTCAATAAGTGTTTATCTGTGACAATCAATGAGGTTACATAGTTTTTGTTTACCTCTGTTTTTGTGTCTTTTCTGGTAAATAATCTCTGCACTGCTATCTACACAATAAACAGAGAGGAACAACAATGATCTTTTCTGTGACATGAAATGGGTAATAATCAAACCGTTAGAGCTGGAATGGTAGGCTCACTGTACCGTTATCTCAAGGTTCCACTATTTTGCTGTTTACCGACCACAGTCTGAAGCAGTTCCAAACAGGGCTTTCACAAACGGAGTGTCTCTGTTATCGAGTTGGGTTGGGAATGGTCTGCTGTCATTATTGCATGGCTATTTTTCATTTACTTACTTGTTTCATCTTTACCTACATTTCAAGATTCAAGATTTTTATTTGTCATTTATGCATAAACCGACAGTCTAGGCATATAGGAATTCTTGTGCAGCTCTCCTTTGGAGTCAGGTAAACGGTTACAAGCCAGAAAAGAACACCTAGTTTGAAAATAAAGTTATGTAAGAGTGACATAGTATAAAAACACAATGAAGATAAAAACGCAATACAAAAAATAAGATAATAGATAATAGATGAGATGGTGAACTTCAAATATTGCACAGAGTATTTCACATAGTGGAGTTGGATATGGTATTTCACTTAGTGAGGTAATAAGGGGTTATTGTACATGTTTCTCACATTTTCGTATTTGCCATCAGTCTTACTGTGGCAGGGAAAAGCTGTTGTAAAGTCTTGTTCTGTGTGTGATGATACTGTCCGCCCTGCTGTGCCTGAGGCTGTAGGTGCAGTTTTTGTGTCTGAGCATGGTGTGAGCGGGGTGGAGTGAATCTCTGATTATGTTTTCTGCTCTGTTACGACAGCACTGTGTGTATAGTGTGTCCATAGCAGGCAGTTTAGTCCCAAAGATCCTCTCTGCAGTCTTTATATGTAAGCTCGGAACATTGATTTCTTAACTGTAACATGAACTTTTTCACTATGACTACTAAACTAACTACTATTAACCACTACAGCAGTTGATGTCACTGAACACCAGTGTTGGAAAGTAATGCAATACATTGTAACATGTTACAGGAATGTGATTACTTTTTTGAGTAGTCTAAAGGCCTTTTCACACCGAACGCGACGCGAATTAGCGAGACGAAAAAGCGAAAAAAAACGCAGGCGAATTTAATGCACCAAAAGTATTCACACCGAACGCGACTCGAATAAGCGATATTTTCTTAAAACGTCGCGCTACATAGATGGACTCCACATCAAGCGACGACGATGTACTGCTTGTCCTGCTACATAAAAAAAGAAAACAAAGAAGGTTTTGGGTCCATCCTATATTGAAAATAAGGAGAGAACATGGCGAGTTTCATCGATTGGTACAGGAACTGAAGTTGTATCATGGTCGCTTTAGGACCTATTACAGGATGTCTGTGGGACAGTTTGAAGCGTTGTTGGTGCTGTTGACCCCCCCACACGATGAAACAGAAAAATAATTACAGGGATCCGATCGACCCAGAACAGCGACGTTAAAAAAAAAAGGTTTATTTGTAATGAAATCAGTTTAGTTCACAATCAAGTGAAGATCCTCTGCTATCCGTCTCCATGCGTTATCTTTGTATTCATTATCTTTGTAGTTTTTGTCCTTTTTAATCATAGATAACTGAATTCGCTGAAACAAATTGGATTAAGCGGTCCGCCATGTTGAATTTGACGTGTCAAGCTGCATTGTGATTGGTCAGAAGTGCTGCCGTCGCCGCGACGAGTTGGAAAAATCGACCCGGAGGCGAAAAAAATTAATGTCGCTTTTCGCGTCACGAAATTACGTCGGCGGTGTGCAATGTATCATTGACAAGTTATTGGTTCGAAAAATATTATTGACGTGCGAATAAATCGCGCGTTAAATTCGCGTCTGGTGTGAAAGGGCCTTAAGGGATTACAATTTGAAACTTAGTAATTAAAATGTGTAATAAGTAATAATTTGCCATTTTTAAACAGTTGGTTGGCAGAATGACAGTCAAGAAATGAGGGCAGATAGGTGACACATACAACCTAGGTCCAGACATGAACTGCAGTTGCAAATATGTGGCATTTAGCATAAGCGCTTGGCTATCACAGTGCTCCACACTATTATTTATTATATTTTTGTTGGGTTGTTTGCAGTCTTTTGCCTGGTTCAGACTGCGTGATTTTTTTCACTGAAATACAATGGGCACTATGTCATATTACACAGTTATAGAGAGTCACACATTCTTTGACGAGGGATATGACAGTTTGTACCCTGCAAGAGCCCAGGAGTAAACACAAAATAGTGTCTGTGGTGTGTGTGAAACTGGCTGCTTGTTTTCGGGAAGGCATAAAAAATGAGGGGGGACCCATCTTTGGGTCACATGAAGAGGGCAGCAGCCTATGTGTTTTCTGTCTTTCATGGAAAACAGTGTTTTACTGGTAGTAAAAATGAAAGCTAGCTAGCTCTGATAGGGTAGCTAGATTCTGTCTCTCACAGTTGAGGTGTACCTACGATGAAAATTACAGATCTGACCATCCTTTGTAAGTGGGAAAACTTGAAATATCGGCAGTGTATCAAATACTATTTGCCCCACTGTAACTCTTTGAAGAGCCTTCCTCTCTGCCTATGTGGTGTTACTGTGATGCCAGTAGTGAGGATGCTCTCTACCAGTCCTCTATAAGCCTGGGTGAGAGGGCGACGGTTCAGTCCAGCTTTCCTTAGCTGCCTGATGAAGTATAGCTCCTGCTGGGCTTTCTTCACTGTGGCAGCTGTGTTCAGTGACCAGCTCAGGTCAGATGTCACCTGCAAGCCCAGGAACTTGTGGCTGTCAGCCCTCTCCACCTCAGTCCCTTTGATGGTCAGAGGCAGCAGAGGGGAGGGGTTCTTCCTGAAGTCTATTATTATTTCTTTTGTCTTGTTTACGTATATTGAGGGTGAGGTCATTCTCCTCTCCATAAACCAGAATGTCATTCACCAAGCTTCTGTAACCTGACTCGTCTCCCCACTTGATGAGGCCCAGGATGTTGGTGTCATCAGCATATTAATGATGGTGGTGTTGTCCTGGTTGGAGACACAGTTGTGAGTGTACAGGGTGAAGAGTTTGGGGTTGTGACAGCAGCCCTGTGGTGAGCCTGTGCTGATTGTGAGCTCAGCAGACACCTGCCCTCCCATTCTCACCACCTGTGGTTTTTCAGTCAGGAAGTCCAGAATCCAGTTACAGGTGGGAGTTGGGACCCCAAGGTCTGTCAGCTTCTCAATCAGCCTACATGGGGGAATGGTGTTGAATGCAGAACTGTAATCCAGGAAGAGCATCCTAGCATATGTACTGCTGTTGTCCAGGTGTTTCAGGGTATAGAATAAAGCCAGAGCTGCGTCATCGTCCACTGATCTGTTAGGGCAGTAGGCAAACTGGAGGGGGTCTACAGTGTCTGGGACCATGTGGTTAATGTGTGTGAGGACCAGTTTCTCTAAGCACTTCATGGTGACTGATGTGAGCGCCACTGGCCTGAAGTCATTCAGAGTGGATGTGTCTGATGTCTTAGGGACCGTTGTGATAATGGATTTTTTGAAAATGTGAGGGACTAGGGATTACTGCTTGGGTTAAAGACATGTTTAAGAATTCTGTATACACACTAGCTAGTTGATCCCCACAGGCTCTCAACACTAGGGGGGGACGCTGTCTGGTCCCGCCGCCTTATGGGGGTTTACCTGTTTCAGGGCCTTCAGGACCTGTGTGTGTGTCACCTGAAAAGCAGTGTCCCCCAGGTCGCAGGGGGAGTTTGAGGGGGTGTCTGTGTTCATCCTGTCAAACCTAGCATAGAAGTTATTAAGGCTGTCTGGGAGGATGGTGTCTTGGGGGGCTGTTGATTTGTTCCTATAGTTTGTGACTGCCTGGAGTCCCTGCCACATGCTGCACATGTTGTTATTCATGTATGTATTATTAATTCCAAACTGACCCAGCTCACTGTGCCTGCCCCCACCTGTCAGTGGATTACTAGCTTTCTGACAGACAGGAAGCAGCAGGTGAGGCTGGGGAAAACAACATCCAGCACCCAGACAATAAGCACTGGTGCCCCCCAGGGATATGTGCTCTCCCCTCTGCTGTTTTCACTCTACACCCAGAACTGCATCTCGAAGGACCCCTCTGTCAAGCTCCTAAAGTTTGCTGATGACACAACAGTCATTGGTCTCATCTGAGACGGTGACGAGTCAGCCTACAGACGGGAGGTTGAGCAGCTGGTCCTGTGGTGTAGCCGCAACAACCTGGAGCTGAACACGCTCAAAACAGTGGAGATGACAGTGGACTTCAAGAAGGAACCCGCCCTCCCCCGTCCTACAAGTTCCTGGGCTCCACTATCTCCCAGGACCTGAAGTGGACGTCCAACATCAGGACCATCACCAAGAAGGCACAGCAGAGGATGTACTTCCTGCACCAGCTCAGAAAGTTCGACCTGCCCCAGGAGCTGCTGATACAGTTCTACAGTTCTCTGCACCTCCATCACTGTCTGGTTTAGCTCAGCAACCAAACAGGACAAGTACAGACTTCAGTGGACAGTCAGGACTGCAGAAAAGGTCACTGGTGCGAGCCTGCCCTCCATGGAGGACCTGTACACCTCACGGGTCAAAAGGAGGGCGGAGAGGTTCACTGCAGACCTCTCACATCAGGGACATAATCTGTTCAAACTCCTCCCCTCTGGATGGCGTTACAGGTCACTGTGCACTAAGACAACCAGGCACAAGGACAGTTTCTTCCCCCAGGCTGTCGCTCTCATGAACACTTGTCCCACAACAGTATGACTGGGCAATAACCCTCAGTGCAATACCTGTAAATATACATTGTACAGATTATACAGATCTGTACAGGTCTCTATTTTTAAGTACTCAATTTTTTTCCTATTTATCTCATTTCACAATGAGAATTCCTTTGTCTGTCTATATTGTTTACTGCCTATTTATACTGCTTATTTTGCATTGTTTGCACTGTTTGTTGCTTCTTTAATACTGCTTATTTTGTTATACTACACAGCCTTATGTTGGTATACTGTTTACTTGCCCCTTGCATGGGGATATATACATGCACATTGAGAGTCAATGTATCAGAGTCAAATTCCTCTTGTGTCTGACACACCTGGCCAATAAAGCTGATTCTGATTCTGATTCTGGCTAGTTCTACAGTTTTTGGAAGTATGCTGTTTTTGCAGCTCTGATGCACCTCTGTAGCTCGTACTGGGCTCTCCTGTACTCCGCTTGGTCCCCTGACTTGAAAGCTTCCCGCTTCTTCCTGATTTTCTGTTTTATGTTCTTATTAAACCAATTTTTGGTTGGGGAAAACATGCACAGTTCTAGGTGGGGCACATGTGGACGTGCACCAGTTGATGTATTCACTCACAGTCTCTCTGTATTCATGGATATCATCTGTGGCCCCTTTGAAGATTTTCCTCTCTGGGTAGACACTCTGATGGCAACGTGTCTTTTCCTGCAAAGATTCTTGCCTTGAAGTTTCTTCAGTACTTCGAGATGTCAGTCTCTTTACCCAAAATCAAAACAAAAGAACTTGCTCTGATAGCAAAATTCTCCTCTCTGGGTAGAGGCCCTGCTGCCTGGCCTCCATCCCACTAGGGAGACTAGCCAGGGCACCACGGCCTGGCCTGTCCTCCCCACTAAGGCTCACACCCATTGGGAATGGACCTGATGCTGCCTCTCTAGGCAAAGGCTCTGAGGTCAAAATCTTCTTTTCCTGCAAAGACTGTAGCCTTTAGCTGTCTTCAGTACTTAGGGAGTTCTGCCTTACTTCCTCAAGCCAAAAAGAGATCGTTCCCCTTTTGAGCAACCCTTCCTGAATCTTCTTGACACCAAAGCATTGTCCATAGGTGAAGCTTCTCCTCTCTGCCTTATCTGCCAAGTCAACCACATACTCCATCCATCCATCCATCCATCCATCCATTTTCCTCCGCTTATCCGGGACCGGGTCGCGGGGGCAGCAGTCTAAGCAAAGATGCCCAGACTTCCCTCTCTCCAGACACTTCCTCCAGCTCCTCCGGGGAAATGCCGAGGCGTTCCCAGGTCAGCTGAGAGACATAGTCCCTCCAGTGTGTCCTGGGTCTTCCCCGGGGCCTCCTCCCGGTGGGACATGCCCGGAGCACC